ATTGTGTTAAAACTTTATTACGTGAAATGAATGTTTCTTTATATCATTTCATTTCTTTAATATGCGATGTCAAAATTGCATTACGTCAAGTGAATTGTGTTTTATAATTAAACTTATCATTACATGAGTTCTTAATCAATTCCTTTTTGAGAGTGTATATTTCTATTATATCAAAGCATTATTATATGATATGGGTTTTTCTTTATTTTACGGCGAGAGCATCATTATGTGAGGTGAACACATCTTACCTTTATGTCAGTGCTTTATTACGTGGTGTAAAAAGTGCATGACATTATGTGAACATATCTTTATATTATATCAACACTTTATCACATTATGTCAAAACTCAATTCCGTGATGTGGATAAATAATTACTTAATGTCAACTCTTTCTTTTGTGATCTTAAATATCTTTATATTGTGTTAACTCTTTATCATGTTGATTCCAAAAGTGCACTACCTGATGTAACAATACATTTACATTATCTCAAAGCTGTATATCTGGTATAAAATGAATGTTGACGACCTTGTTTTTATGACTGGTATTAGGGGGGGGGTCCTGATTGAGTAGGAAGAATTACAGACACAAAATATCACCCCTCCCCCTCTTTTCCCAGACATAACTTTACAATTGAAAATCTAATGTTCATTGAAAGTACAGCCCCCACCCCCACTTTTTGTTGAATTATAGTCCACTAAAAAAATTAGGACTGATCGAAGTTGGACCCCCCCCCTTCCCCTCCCCGAAATAGGATTTTCAGGCTTGGAGTGAAGAATTAATTTTTTTTGGCTTCTCAAGTTTTTTTTTTCGGGCGAATATTTTTTTCTGGCTGACCCCCCCCCCCCCTCTTTCGAAAAAAGATGATACGTCACTGGATTAGTAATTTTTTCAACCAATCCAGGGCCAGAATTCTATTATAATAATCATTAAATCACTCATCTAAATCAATTGAATATGTCTTAATAAGCATGCATGGGCACATATCAGTAGCGGATTTGAGAATCTTGAACCCAAAAAATTGCCCAAGCCTGAAGGGGGACGGTTTATGGTTGGAGACCAAGGGGGAAAGCGGAGAAGCTCTCAGGCTTTAAAGTTTTATAAAATAGTTTTCTACTAAATTCAGCTAAACTCAATGTGAAACTAATGTAATGTCCTACAAAGTAAAAACAATAAATTTATTAATTTTATGTATATGTAGAGATGGTAGGGCGGGATTTCCCCCTCCCCCAACGCACGAGTGCACGTGTGTTATAACGATGTGTTTACACTTAAAAAAAAAAGAAAGTTCAAGACTAATAAAAAAAACGTATGACAATGTTCTAAGAAAGATCAAAAGCTAGTTTAAGACCTTTATCCAAAAAACAAACAAAACAAACAAACAATTCAAAATACGAGTAAAAAGAAAAACACTGCTGCACGACTCATAATATTTTTTGATTTATCAAATTCTCAGATTTAAGTAAACGCCATTGAATTTCGACGTGACTTTAATTCACAGTCGCAGTGTTAAGGCTTTGCGCGTTTCAGATTGTCAATCCTTTGTCGCTTAAAATTTTTATTTAAAGATGCCATTCCCAAATTGCTGAGATTTCTTCTACAACAATTTTCTCTCCCGCCAATTTAGTGCTTGCGGAACGCGGAAAATACGTTATGCTCATATAAAAGCCGAGGATACCCGTGTTCGCATAACGTAATAGTGAATCGACATAATGTAGTAGTGTAAGTTAATATCATAAAGAATTGACATAATGTAATGATTGGTTAACACAATGTTATTGTTGTTTAATAAAATGTCATGAACAGTAAACATAACGAAATGCAAGAATGTGTAAATGTTATAAAGTGTTGACATAATGTAAAGGAAGGTTTACACGATGCAATAGTAGTGTGGGATAATATCATAAAGAATTGACGCAATGTAATGGAAGGTTGACACAATGCAGTAGTAGTGTGGGTTAATGTCATAAAGAGTTGACATAATATAATGGAAAGTTGACACAATGGAATAATAGTGTGAGCAATGTTGTAAAAAGTTGACATAATGGGACCGAAGGTTGACACAGTGTAAAAGTAGTGTGAGTAAATGTCATATAGAGTTGAATTTATGTATTTAGGAAAGTTCACACAATGCAATAGTAGTGTGAGTAAATGTCATAAAGAGTTGATATAATGTAATAGAAGGTTGACACAATGTAGTAGTAGTGTGGGTTAATGTCATAAAGAGTTGACATAATATAATGGAAGGTTGACACAACGCAATAGTAGTGTGAGTAAATGTCATAAAGAGTTGACATAATGTAATGGAAGGTTGGCACAATAAAATAATAGCAGAAGTAAATGTCATAAAGTGTTGACATAATGGAACCGAAAGTTGACATAATGTTATAGTAGTGTGAGTAACTGTCTTATGGAGTTGACATTATGTAAAAAAGAAAGTTCACAAAATGCAATAGTAGCGAGAGGAAATGTCATAAAAAGTTGACATAATGTAATGGAAGATTGACGCAGTGCAATTGTTGTGTTCTGCTATAAGGCTGTGGCGGCGTTCCATAGTACATGTATATTTTGTGTGTGTGTGTGTGTGTGTGTGTGTGTGAACGAATTTATAAATCATTATGGTAGAAACCATGTAAATATTATATAAACGAATTTCTAAGCTGTACAAATATTTTCTAAATTGTACATATAATTTTCAAAACATTACAAAGTAATTGGAAAACAAAATCCTACAAACGAGTTTATCAACTGTGAAAAAAGAATTTTGGCACTCATGCGCTGTCATAGAAATATAGATGTAGGTCATTTCAGGTAATCAATGCTTCTTTATCTCGCTCTTGCATTGAGATAATCTGAAAAAATTCAGAGGATTAGAATGGCAGGCAAAAAAAGTACGTTGGTTGTCAAAATGTAGAATAACTGGAAAATAATGTAAGTAAAGGAACTCTGCCAAATGTCGAGATTATAATCTACTTTCGTTTTGAACAAATATTGAGCTGTTGATGCCAATGGATTGAAACACACAGACCATTCTTTGTCTTATTTATTACTAACGTACGTCGTCATATACATGTATCACTGCAGTATCTGTAAATAGAATACTTTAAATTAAACGTAATACACAATGTTAAATCCCCTTAAATTACTATTGCTTGTTAATTAAGTCTGTAAAAATATGCCTTTTTTCTTCCTCTTGATATCTTATTTAGATTTTAACTTGCCATCGACGTTTACGCAGTAAGCTATTAACAAGATTATCAATTTAATAAAGGAAAAGCCCTGTTTGCAATACCTATCGGGATCTCCGGAATCAACAAGAACATAATTTTTAATTAGAAAATTTGAATAAAAACTATTTATTTTTCATAAAAAAAACATTGACCTCCCTTTGAAATATTTTGCCTCAAAACTTATCTTTTTTAATATCATAGGTCATTAAATTTAAGGTAGGATTCTTCTATGATTTCGGACTAGATGAATTATTCCAAGTATATTTGCTTATGTGTCTTATGTATTAAGATGTAAGATATTTAAAAAAAATCATATTTTTCTTTCCTCATCACAATTGTACAATTAAATAAAAATGGTAATCCGCGTTTGAAAACTAGCAGGGACTATATTTTTGGCGGAATTGTGGCGAATGAAAATATCTAGTCTTTTCGGCCTCTCAGTTATAATTTTATACAATCAAAGACTTGAAGAAACTTTCAAATGTAAGCTTAATTAATGACTAAAGTTTCTAAATATATCAAATAAATGTGATTTATAAAATTAACTAGACCTATGCTAGCAAGGACATTATTCGTTGCCACTGGCAAGTTGACAATTATGTACTTGGAATGTGGTTGTGAGAGAACAGATAAAGAGGCCATGATACAAACACACTTCAGTAAAGAAAAAAATTCTTTTCCATCGTTAAAATTTACTGCACACTTATTTATAGCGTTAAAAATTTTAGAAGTCATGGCCATTTAAAAGAAGTATTTCATATTTTGAAAGAAAAATCGTGAATTTTTTTCAGTGACGATTTTTCAAAGAGAATTTTTTCTACATAAAATTTAAACTAAACAAACAGTTTGAAGAAATGGGATCCAAGCAAATTTAGTAAAAAAAAAAATACAAAAAACCCTTTTCTTGATTGCATGTGCTAATTCAAAACACTTTGGATCATTCGAATGCCTAATTTGATTGTGTTGTATCGTTTAATTTCAGAAAAATGACCAAGAAGAATTTCTCAGACTTTGGTAACATTGTGGATTCCTGTCCCGGTAACAAGACAGAGTTCACAGACTCGGCTACCAGACTGGGGTGTGGTGTGGATGTGTATGGGCGGAGTCAATACGTCTGTGTTCCCAATCACCAGAGGTCAAGTCTGGTGGAATTGTGTATAAGTCAACAACTGGACTGTTTGAAAGAGGTACGTATTAATCTTGCGTATTACATCATGAATAACTCTAACATGTACTTCAGTCATTGTGATTTTTCTGCATGCAGGTAATTGTATAGAGGTTTACGAAAGTGGAAATTTGGATCAAACCAGCTGTCTTCATTTCACAGATGGATGTCCTGAGAACCATTTCTTTCCCTCTGACCTGTACAAATGTGAGTTTGAACCTAATCATGATCAATATAAATCAAGTGAACATCGAAAACTACAATAAGAAGGCAGTTTCTGTGAAATACAGACAATAATATCCTTTAAAATATATAAGAGAACAGTAGAATAAATTGAAAGGGAGGGATATTGTCGCTTTAAATGATTTTTTTTTTACAGTTTTAATATTTGTAAAATGACTTTGCGAATTCAAACAATAAAACCAATATTCGTGTCTGTGCTGCAATGTAGAGTTGTCAATAATTTAACATGAATATTTAGTAATTGCGATTGTATATGCTATATTATGTGTTTCTGTATATCTGGTAGAATCTAGACTAAGAATACTAGTACTTCTTCCTTTTGCTACAGTCCCGGCTTGTCACCGAGTCAATCTTCAAGTGCAATGCTTTTTTGCGGATCCTGCATGTCCTAATATCACGTAAGGAGACGGAGATCGGGAGATCATGTTAATGGCAGTTATAAAAGGGGGGCCATTATGTTAAGTTGAAAAACAATCACTACTTTAAATTTTGCATACAGAAAATTAATGGGAACATTTTTTTTGTTTTGGTTGAAAGCTGTGTAAAATTCTCGCATCATTCTCTTTAGCCAAAAAAACCCTAAAAATATAGCTTTACGTCCCAGCAGGCACGCAACGTTGTTTCAACGTTGAAAGGAGGTGGAATATAGGTTGCAACGTTGATCAACTATATTTCAACGTTGTTTCAACGTTGAGGTTTCAACGTTGAATCCTCAACCTTTTTTCAACGTTGAAACAACGTTGAAGGTACAACATATTTTCAACGTTGAATGTTCGTCGATATATCAACGTTGAAACAACGTTGAGGCTGCAACATATTTTCAACGTTGAATGTTCGTCGATATTTCAACGTTGAAACAACGTTGAAGCTGCAACATATTCTCAACGTTTGATGTTCGTTAATATTTTAACGTAGAAACAACGTTGAAGCTGCAACATAGTTTCAACATTGAATGTGCTCGTCGATATTCAACGTTGAAACAACGTTGAAGATTCAACATGTTTTCAACATTGAGTATTTTCTGATTATGTAGAGTTTAAACAAGGTTTAAAAATGCAAAGTTGACTGTCTCTTGATTTCAACGTTGAAACAATGTGGAAGATGCAACATATTTTCAACTTTAGGAAAGTTAGGAATTATTAACGTTGAAACAACGGGTAACAAGTATTGAGCACTTTAGTTTTTAAGTTCAAAATATAAAGGTGTCTTTAACTTCTAATCCATGCGATTTTTCGCAATATACACACAGCTGTTTGCTTTGTTAGAAAATATTATATATATAATAATAATACTTAATAAATGAAACGCATACATTATAAATTGATTCACTCAAAAGAGTTGTGCCAATAGCTAGTACCATTATAAAATTTTAAATATTAGTTTATATGAAGCATGGCATCTGCATTTAACACTTTATTATAATTATGTTTCAAAAAAGATTATTTTTTAAAAAAAAATTGTGAGTGCTATTTTTTTTTGACATATTTATAGAATATGTTAAATATAAACTTTTTATAAATAATATCTTTATTCAACATCTCACTGTAATTCCATGTTAATATAGAATTAATAAATAATTATTCCGAATTAATGTTCTTAAAATTAGACTCATATGGATCCGTGCCGTATACTCTTGCGCAGATTATACGTATATAGAGCAAATCTAAGTAGTCTTATTTTATTAGATTGTGCTTTTGTTGTGTGTATTAATTCTATAATCTTAATTTTCACAAAATATTAAAAAAATCAAATAAACATTAAGATTTTTCACACTGACAATTAACCCGGTAAAGTTGCATTACTTAAGATCCACTCCCCCAAAACCTTCGAGATATCAGATAAGGAGAGCCTCTCGCTTAGTTGGTCAGTTTCAGTGTCAGGATAACCTTGTTATGCAATTTTCTTGCTGGGCAGAGTATAGCTGTTTGCAGCTTATCTAGGTCAAAATTTGAATTCAACTGATGGACAAAATGTGCGCGTCTCCTTGCTGTTCATATTGAATGTGTTTTCAAGCTATTATACACAAGGATTAAGGCTGGAATATCAACTTCTGATCAGTAAGTATTATTTCCTTTTCATGAATTTAAGAAATTAAGTTTTTTTTAGTATCTGTTCATCATTTAATTCTTGTTTTATAAGTACATGTATATTTGAAATCTGCGTGAAATGCACAACCTTGGTTCTTGTATTATGTGTTTTGTTGATATTCATTTGGTTATGAAATATAAGCTAGTATACTAATATATTATACAATTTAACTAATTGTAGTTCGTCGTAAGGTTAAATCAACCAGTGGTGCAGGGAATTGATTGTAAAGCCAGCCTTGATTGCATCAGATTCTTCGCCCGTGAAAATTATACAAAGGAATGCAACATTTTGTAAGTACACTATGTATATGTATGTCTATAACATTTTTCTTTAGTAATAATTATTTATAAGCATACTCATACAAATTTAACATGAAGTCAACTATAATTCTTTTAATCATATTAATTAAATCCAAGTACCGGAATATATTCCTTTGTCTTATTTTCTAAATCATCCATGTATATTTATTTTTATCGTTTGAAATAACGTGTTACGTACATTTTATCGAACAAATGGCTTTAACATCTTTATTTCTTTTATCAATAGGCTTTTGCTTTAGAGGGTGGATTCTCCTGTTCATTTCTTTCATTCGTGGGACTTAACTATATGCGTGATTAAAATCAATGGATCCGCCACTTTGTGGAACTTAGTAGTGTAAGGCAGAGGCGTACTTTGAAGGACCTGGATGTGATTACTGTAACCCACTTTTCACTAGGAATATAAATTTCGTCAAGCAGTGATTTTTGAGATTCAGTGATTGCATGAATCCGAATTTGTGCTTGTATTAAAAATACATGTAAAATAAATTCTACCACAATCATAATACAGGATTACAACTTATCTAAATATTACGCAACTTGAATAAAAAAATTTATTAGTATTTGAAATGTATTTGTTTTTAAAGCAAAATGTAATATGAATTCAACGTGATTTCAACCAAATATCAACATTTGTTCAACCGAAAAATTTCAACCAAATCTCAACCTAATTTCAACCAATGTTCACTTTTGTTCAATGTTGATATTTAACGTTGAAACAACGTTGAAGCTTCAACGTTGCCTCAACTTTCATTTGCAACCAAAAATCAACCATAAATCAACCAAAAATTCAACCCATTTTCAACGTTGATTCAACGTTGAAAATTGACGTTGAAACAACGTTATATCTCAACGTTGACTCAACTTTCATATGCAACCAAAATTCAACGTTGATTCAACGTTGAAGTGCTACGTTGATTCAACGTTGAATCAACGTTGAAATGCCTGCTGGGGTTGGTCTTCAGAAGCTTGACCGTTTCTCAAATACGATGTACATGCATATGACCATGGTTGTGTTGAAATGTGTAAATAAAAGTCTCCTAAAGGAACTCCTATGTTGGTCATGGTCTCTCATATTCTGTCTTGCACACATGTTTTAAAGGTATTATTTTCTAATCCATTTTTAAAAGATTATAAAGTATTTCTATCTTTGCTGAGAAGTTTCACCTTTGTGAGGTTTGAAGATCAATCTATTTTTGTACCTTTAGTGAAATACATATAAGCTTTCTGATAAGGGATTCTATATCTTACATAAAAATATAAGAAAATATTACTGATTGGGATAAAAATACATTTTTTCCCTTTTACATGTAGAACAACATTAATGGATATCCAATTGCCGGAGTTATCTGGGGATGGTACAACACCTATTGGGACGATCGTAGGAAGCCTTGCTGCTCTTCTCTTTATTCTTCTCGTGTTGATAACAGTTATCCTGTGGATGAGAAATAGATTTTTAAGTATATATATTTTCTTTTCAAAGTTTTCAGCTTTATACGAAGGATGTTAGAAAAGTTCGCGGACAGGTTCTATTGTGAGCGTTCTATTTCCACAAAACCGGTTAAACTTAACAGATATAATCTTTTTTTCCAATAAATATACAAGAATTTGGTCCTCTCCGGTATTAATTGAAAAATATACGGCATTTTAATTTTGATAAATTTTGCTTCACGGAGCATGCTATATTTTGGCACGTTTACATCACAAAGACTCTTTATTAAAATTTAAAATTGCCCAATTGTGATGCCAAGAGATTTATGATATCATTTTACCTGTCGCTAAAATATGCAGAAAACGTTACTAGGAGAAATTTTGAAATAAATTGGAGAGTTTATGACTGTCCTATATCCGTTTATAAATGATCAACGCGTAAAAACGGTTTGTTCCCGTTTTGCACACATTTGAATTACAGGTAATTAAAAATGTGTGAAAAACGGGAATTTGACCAGGTGAGATAATTACTAAATTGCTATAGTCTTTACTATACTTAATAAGTATGTGAAAGGTGAACTTATAGTGAAAAAATAAGAGAATAAATACAAAGTTATTGTGTCTTGGCTTGGGCAATATTTTCACATTAATATTTTTTCTCTATTTCCTTTATTATTTGTTATACCTTTAATTCATTTAGAATTTTATCAAGATGGAAAAATATTCTTTTTTAAAGAAATTTTTTCCTTAATTTATAAATAATATTAAATATTTAAATTTTATTCAATAGGATCAAATATTTTCCCGTAAATAAAAAAAATTTGTATAAAACCTCTTAAGTATACATTAAGCTAAATCAGGTACATCCTGTATTCAAAGGTAAATTTAAACCAAAAAATCAGACTATAATTGCTATCAAAACACACTTCGCAGCCAAAAATCGGAACGTCATTGAGCGTCATGGAACACTGCACTACATAAGAATTATGCATGCAGACAGGAAAATATCTAAAAATAGATTAAAATGTTCAAGATGCTACTGGGAATATACTAAACATACAAAGAACAGGTTTTCAAATGGTTGTATCTGCATAAGAATAGAAAGAGTAATATTTTGAATGATTCACTCTATCAATATACTTCAATACCCCTCTATTGCATAGACGTTGCATTGCGCCTATATGGTTTTGCATATTTTCCAAACCTGATTGAACGACTGCATAGACTTTTAAAAAAAATTTAGTAGAAAATTGTAGTAAAAAAGTAATATGTCTTGATATAGATATTAAGTTTTAAAGTAGAAAAAAGATAAGAAAAATCTTAAGAAATGAAAGATTTATTGAACTGCAACAAAGCTTAAAGGGTTGAATTCTGGTTGTCACGTCGTTAAGGGGATGAAGGATGTATGGTCACGTGACTCAGTTGATTTACGTCATAATCTCTGATAAAATATGTACAAAATGAGATTGAAACCACAGCACTTATATAATTTTTTGACTGTTTGTTTGCGTTCACCATCAAGTATAAAAATATCAGAAAACATTCAAAATTTCTTGCAAATATTACGCAGTATCAAATTACGGAATAGATTAATCCACCCTGCCGTTTCCCTACTTTGTGCGTCCGGTGCGTCTCTGACGTCATAGTGGATCTCTTAGTTCAGTGAGATCTTACACGATAAAAACGGGTAGTATAAAATCATAAAAACGGTCCATAATATGTACTTAGTAGGGTATTTTGTAAATTTCAGAACGCAAATAATATTTTTACATGGTTGTTGACGGAAAAGTTCTGTGGGTTTGTCTTATTTCGTTTATTTAAGGAATGTGTGACGTCATAGTTGAGTTTTCCCGACTCAAGAAATGTAAACATGCCAGATTTTTCTCATGATCATGACTCGTTTAATTTTGTCCCGTGCAATATTGAGCTCAGCTTCACCAATCGATATTTTTACAGTTAATCAATACAATGACGACCTTGAACTTCGACGTAAATTTTCAAATATTGAATGATAGGATTTTTTGCAAATTAATTTTTTTATGGTTTAAGTTGTCCTAAAAAAAACTCGTAAATTTCCGTTTCCAGATGTGGTGTTACAAAAGAATCTTGCTTTTATCGAATTTTTAACCCTATTCATACTCTAAAATATTTTAAAAGACACATTTCCGCTGGTATATTTTTTATCTATGGTGAAAAATTTCAATTATCGACCAAGTAATGGACCCAGAAACACGGAGAATAAAACATCTGCTCAGACACTGTGGGGTATGGTATTTGTCACTCAATATCTCAGAAATAAGTCTAGAAACGTATTGATATATCTGCTTTATAGTATGCAGGACATACTAAATAAGGTATATACAAAATATGAAAAAAATTAAATGACAGATATTTTATCAGCTAAAGGTCCTTCATCCCTTTACTTCAAGTGCTTGTTCCGTGAATCCCATAACCCCATAGTAAAAATATTTGTAAAATTTTAAGATTTTATTATATGGACCTGATTTTTTACATACTAATAAACAAAATGTAGGAATTCATTCAGACATAGGTCATACTTCACAGTACACGATAGATTTTCTGCAATTCAATGTGTCCGCGAACATTTATAACACTACTCGTATATGTGCTTTAGATTCAAAACTTGCCATTAGTTTGTAACTTTCGACAAAGGAAGACGTTTTAAAGAATTCATAAATATTATAGAAAAAATGATTTAAAAGTATACAACCCATTCCAAAGATATTGGTCAGATTTAACATGTTTAATAATATTCCGTATATAACAAAACATATAAAACAATTAATTTTTTTTTTTACAAGAGACCAAAAGCTTCTATCATATCATGCAACATGCGGTTAAGAATTAAGGCTTTGCTGTTTGAAGATTTACAGAGCCTATATATATATATATATATCGAAGCAAAATTATTTTTTGACATTTGTATTGAAGAGAGGTGGACATATTAAACTCATCTTTTATAACATTAGAAAATAAAGTGTAGCTGAACAAAAATCAATGTTGTCAATTTACGTATTTGAGGGAAACACATGCATGAATAGTATTCAAATAATTTTCCATGGCCAATTAAAGTGTTCAGAAAGATTGAATAGCTTTACAATTAATAGGAACTTTAGATATTAAGTCTCCTAATCTTAAATATAAGGTCACATTACTCTGATTACAAAAATGAACAATGACAAAAATGAAAGCATACTAATTTGCAGTTAAGAGATCAATATGCAAGAAATTCTTAGATTAAATGTTTGAAACCAAGAAAGGGGAAGTTTTGTTATGTAATGATTTTTATGAATAACGGACACCTCCGAGGTACTTCAAAGTAAAATGATGCATATATGTTTTATGTGTTGACTTAACAAATCATCCATACAATGTTGATTAACATGGCATCATGTAATTAAAACATTTATTCCCTCGTCGTTATAGGAGCTGTTTATGAAGGACGATCTACGGCAATTTCGCTTATAGATGAAAATCGTCATTATGATATAACTACTTGTGAATCCCCTCTGCTGGCTGCAAACAAAGGTATAAAAAAAGAAACAAAACAAAAGCGATGTAATCGTGAAATTTTTTGTCTTCTGTAAATGTTACAGAATCAGAACTTCTTAGTACTGAAGAATTTTATATAAAAAGATATTCGAACAGTTGTCAAGATCAGAGTCTATAAGCAATACAAAACAGGAGCAGAGCAAACACGGCTTTCCAAAATATCAGAAGTGGAATAAGGTGCCATGAGAAGAGAGCATCCCCTGCCGACTGGTTACATGCTCCTTGTCATGATCAGGGGCTAAATGAAATGTCCTTCGTCAACTTTGTGGACTAAAATATGGCATGCGGAATACCATGCAACATTTGACTCAATAAAAAATTGTATTTGCTGACAAAGTCATTGTATCGACCACAGAATCGAACTTGCAAAGCGATGACTTTAAACGAGACTGCTTATATTTTTGTTTCATCATTTTGTTCGTGAATAATTTACTTCGTTTCAGACATTGTTTATACAAGAGCTTGCTCTTGCATATCGAATCAACTAATTGTCATAGAGCGTGGTTGTTAGAATACCATTAATGTCTTTTCTAATTAAAATATCCAAGTACGAGACAGATGTGTCAGACTGTGTGATATCTTTTATCTCAAGCTCACCAGGATATATATCGTATCGACATATAATTTCAAATTACCATTGTTAATTGACAGTGGGTCGTCGATATATCGAGTTGAATGCCACAGCAAGTGTTTTTTACGCATTAGATTTTGCACAAATTCTGTTTCATATGAATGCAAAAATAAGTCTGCTAATAACAGAGCGCAGTTGGTACCCATGGGGATACCAATGGATTGTTTGAAGACCTTGGTCTCCAAAAATAAGAGATATTGTCAATCAGAAACCCAAGCAGCTCATTTATGTCAACTTCAGAGTATTTGTCTTTACAACCAGAATGTGTTTTAAGAAAATAATTTTGCAAATGAATTGACATTGACCAGTTAAGACAATTTACGCGTTTCATTTTTATTGAACAAGCAGCTGTCAATGATATTAAAAAGCCTGGGCTTTAATTTATCGTGGGGTATTGTTGTGTTTTAAATTATAAAGTTTTTAAGTTTTTAAGCTGTTGATTTTGGTAAAATCTTGTGATTTTAACTTATCCAAAAGTTCTTTGGAATTTTTTAGAATCCCGATTTGATTCACGTCACTTCTTATAAAAATTGTTGCACAGTGCTTTTGAAGTTGTTTCTCCTTCATTTTCTTTTAATATCTTAGTGCGGAGTAAGGAAAAGTACTTGATTGAACATTAACTGGAACCAGCATTGTACTTTTTTTAAGGATTCTTTTAAAGTTTCGGAATCCAATAAATATATTGTAGTTCAAAATCATTTTGGTTTTTCGAAATATTAGGAATTTCAAAATACGAAATATTATACTCGTCATTATTTCATCATAATACTTCACACTTTTGTAGTTATTGGAAAATGAAGTTCTCATAGAAATAATATTTAATTTCAGGAATTATAGAGGTGAGAGAAACGGTCGTCAATGAAGATCCAGAGGAAAGAGAGGGTTTCGTATTAGAAACTGGTGACAACGATTATACTTCTGAGGTTGTAAATCAATGGATGAAAAAACAATGGGAAGAGATAAGTAAGAATAAACATAGTTAACTTATTTACGGAGCAAATTTAAAAAATCTTTCTCTTTATTCATAAACTGTATACTGTGAATCACAAATTTTCGTGGGGATAAAATTTCGTTGATTTGTTATCAAAAATAGTTTCGTGAGCAATTAATTTCGTTGTTTTGAGAGTAACCCTATTCAATATATACTCATATTAAATTTCGTGTGAATTTAATTTCGGTGATAATTGTTAACAACGAAATAAACGAAATTTACCCCCCACAAATATTTCTGCAATATTATTATTTGGTTATTAATTTATCAAGAATAGAAATACTGCACATCGTTCATTAGAAACAGTTTTTTATTATGATCTTTTGTTATTTAAACTATTTATATGTTTTTATGAACTTCAAGTCATTTACATATTTATTATGAAGCTTATTTTTTTTCAAGGACATGCAATTACGTTTAATAAGTAATAATACAAATCAACAAAATAAACACAATAATCTTTAGCCGAAGGCTGGAGTGAGCTTTTTTTTATCTAAATTTGTCCGGCGTCTGTCGTTGTCGTTGTCATCGTAGTCCTTGTAAACTTTTTCAAATTTTCATCTTCTTCTCAAGAACAACTGGGCCAATTTCAACCAAACTTTTTGGGTGAAGGTGATTAAAGTTTGTTCAAATGAAAGACCATGCCCTCTTCCAAGGGGAGATAATTATGAATTAGTGAAAAATTAATAACATTTATTTAAAAATCTTCTTCTCAAGAACCACTGAGCCAGGAAAGATGAAACTCATGTGAAATCATACTCAGGTAGTGTAGATTTAGGTTTGTTCAAATCATGACCCCGGGGGCTAGGGTGGGCCCAAAATGACTGACCAAAGTTTTAAATAGGGATATATATATGAGAAACTTTTAAAATCTACTTTTCAAGTACTTCAAAGTCATGGTTAATGATATTTATTTGGAAGCATCTTCAGGTAGTGTAGATTCTAGTTTGTTCAAGTCATGACCCCCTGGGGGTTAAATTTCAAGCCCACCCCACCCATCCCAACTTCGGTGAATTTTCAGTTCTGTTCTGATATGTGCTTTTTCCTAACCGATGTGCTCAGGTGAGCGCTGTGGCCCCTGGACCTCTTGTTTTAAATAAATAAGATGATCTCCTTAAGGATACACCAAATGCTTTTTTTTTCAAGATTTTTTATTTTAATTTTAAGATTTTTGGCTGAGAAAGAGATGCTAATCACTAGTTTATAATGCATGAAAAACTTTTGCTGATTATCTAATCGAACCTCCCATTCTTATGAATATGCATAGGAATATGAATAAGTGACAGGTATCCAAAGCTGAATCTCCAAGGTGTCATAAATTTCTAGCTTTGGCAAAATTGGTTGTGTAATCATGTGTTTTTGTCCTCTACCGTAAAGTAAGATCAGACATTTGGTGGTATTATTTCAAAGGATTCAGCTTCTTTATTTATTGACCAATTTCTCTGAAAACTGGCTACATTGCACCTCAAATGTGTGTTCATTTTTTCTGATATCATGTTTAGTTCTTGAACTATTGGGGAAAATCATAAATGGGGTAATAAATTGAACATTGAAGGCCAAATGGATGTAACTTTTGAATTTGAAGATTTATAAAAAAAAAATAATCTGAGATATTTCTAAAGATTTTAAGGTTTGCATTTAAATCTTTTATCTACCTTAAGGCAAAGTTATGACTTTTAGAGCTGGAATACAAAACAGTTGATTCATAAAAATATAAATGTAATATTTACATTTAGATATGAATAAATTTTTAATTAGATGAAATGCAAGTTTATATTAGAATCATTTAATAGTAAATTTCACAAGGTTTTAGATAATATATATTTTTAATATGTTGTCTTTGATAATGAACAAATACAAGCAAAATAATTTTGCCTATTGGAAACCTTTGGTGTATCCTTAAATAAGACAACAAGATATGTTCCAACAAGTATAAAGATATTTGATGGCGTGTTTATGTCCTACTTTTTTGAAAATTCGAATGGAGGCCTTGATAGGTTTTTATTGTTTACCTAACTTCAATGCAAACGATTCTAATAATAAATTTCCCGAATCTAAAGAAATTGTAAACTTTCTGTGACGTTCAAAATTCAACCCTCCTGAAACCATCCTTATTATTTTATACAAAACTTTTCGCTTCAAATTCCATTCTTGTGCAACTTTGAATAAAACATTTAAAAATTTCGCGGTCAAACTTATTCATATAATTCATTACCAGATGGACCAAGTCATTATTTTGAAATTTTAGGCAAAGTTTATTTGTATCATTTGTTCTTAATCAACGTATTAAATTATTTTCCTCCAGTAATAAATCCAATATGAAAGATGAAAGAATGTATAGCATGCTTCAAAATCATTTTGCCTTTGCCCATCGCTTTAACTGAAATTGAGGGATATTAATTTTGGGCCGGTCTGTCCATGCATCCATCTGTATTTCTGTCTCTCTGTAACACTTTCGTTTCCGGTAATGCTCCACTTACCATTAAACTGTCCAAAAAATTGCAAATAAATTATAAAAACCACAAATGGATTTGACATAAAGGGGAACACTGTTGATTTTGAGGTCAAAATTTCTAAGGCAAAGGTCATGTTATTCATAATTATGTTCCCCAAACGAAGTTGGGGAACATATTGTTTTTACTCTGTTTCTTATTATTATTATTAGGTCTTCTGTCTCCAACGGAAGACCTTATTGTTTTCGTTCGGTTTCTTTTTCCCTATTATTATTATTTTTCTTACCGATTTTGTGCACGCGATTTCTCGGAAACGGCTCCCCCGATTTTCACCAATCTTTCAGATCTGATAGATATTCATCCGAACATTGTCGGAAATTTTCGACGTTGATGACTTCACTTCCGGCCGTGAGATATGGACGATTTTCTGATTTTTAGATGGTCGGCTTGTCCTGAGATCTCCTCCTAAACGAGTAAAGATATCAACCTGAGATTTTCAGTGAAGTTAGAGGAAGGATAGGAGATGTGACATTTTGCATATAGAGCTTTCCAGGTGAAAAGGCATCGACGCTCGCCTGGCCTCAAAGAATTTGGCTCATACGCATCTCGCAAAAATTGATACGTTTTCGTTTATATCTTTTTACCTGTGAATATTTTGTTAAGACATATACAATAAAAATGTGCAATATAGTTAGGCCTTTCATTTGATATCAAGAACATCTTCAAATTAGGGACATAGAGGGGCCAAAAGTCTCTCGTCTTAAACTCTTTAATGATCAATATTTTGTGATACATTACTGAAGCAAAGATATTCAACTTAACAATTTGCAACAAAATATACTAAAAATTTGATCATATGATACGTTATAAAGGGTCACAGGGGGCTAGAATGTTATATCTTTGACGCTTTATATCTCGAGAAGCGTGAATATTTTTGATAAGCAATATTGAACAAAAGATGGTCAAAATAATGTTCCTAACAATATGCATACTTTTAATTTGTTCATTGTTCCATGAACACTTCCGGTTAAACCGGAAGTACATGAAATTTAAATAGATGTACATGTATAGCGATTTTTTTTCATTTTCTAATGAATGTAATTGTTCATTATATAGATATTAAGAATGCGTAGCATCTGGAATATTTCCACCTGGAGTATGCTCTCAAACTGGGCAGTTGTCTAAAAATCCAGCATTTTCCATTGAAACTTTCAGGGATGATTACTGCATGCTTGATGTAGAGTTGAAAGTAGTTTTGAGCACATGCGGTCGCACCGGAAGTGAGGAAGTAGAACCGGAAGTTGATTGGAATTGATAGATCCTACATTTTTTGTGTTTCTAAACATATTTTGAAGAATTCTTGTGCCTTTTTGACATTTTTTATCCTATCAGTGGAATTATCCCAACACAGGTCTTATTCCATCAGATATCGGACGGAAGACTACTGTTGCTTGCAACGAGATCGCATCTAGTTAAGGCTTCCGTTTCACGGAAGACCTTCTAGTGATTCTACTGTTTCTTATTATTATTATTATTATTATTATTTTTTTCCCCAAAATTTTGTGCACGCGATTTCTCGAAAAGTATTCAGTAGTTTTCTGTGAAAATTTCAGGAATTATGCGTCATTATATGAAGTTGTGGCATGGATAGGAATTTTTGGGAATATCACCTTTGGTTCCAAGTTATTGACACTTTTCTGTTTTTAAAATGCAATTTTTCCCCTTTTTTTCGAAAATGGTTTAAGATATTAACTGGAGACTTGTAAGAGATTATAGATGATGACTTTTAAATGTGACGAATCACCTTTTCGTGTGTCGTCGGTACTTCCGGTTGCTACCGGAAGCGAAATTAAAAAGTCCGTATTTTCTAACTTTTTTGTTTTTCAATATTTTTCATTGATATTTAAAAATTTAAAAGACCCTTCATAATGCTTACTATATAATTTGTTTGAATATTGATAAATCCAAACTCTAGAAATGAACATTCAAAAATCTGAAGTGGGTCCAAAATGGCGACTGTCTCTGTCAACTCCGACATTTCGCAATAGGGGTTTACGGAGGCAGCAGAGCGTTTGCTTCAACGAAAGTAAAATAAGGATAAAAGGAGTGTAAAGGAATACTAGGATTGTCACGTCGTTGTTACGTTGCAAACGTGTGTCAAACTATGTTTTAATCCATGGTGCTCTCAAACGTCTTCTATATTTGGTTTTGGCTGGTTCTCAAAGTAGAAAAAGAAAAGACTAAATGTGCAAATGAAATACGAGACCTAGTATCTTTTACTTTTTGCGGAATAACAGATTTTTAACCATAGTTATAAGTAATAGTTAATAAGAAACATATATAGTAAGTATTAAACGTAACCACCGTTTTCCTAAGCACACTTGAATTAAACAAATAGAAAAGACAGAAATAAGAAAACAATATCTAAAAAGATAATTAAATGGAGTTTATATCATCATTATTGTCTCAATGATCTCATTCAAGTTATTAAACATAAATGGTGTCTGATTCCTTGACCG